TTGTAAACCCTGAGAGGAATCTGCTTGATCTCACCGAAGCGAGAAGCGAGCACAGGGGATGAAGAAAAGCTCGAAAGAGGCTAGGAAAGGAACAATACCAAGCTGTCTGGAGACGCTCGTAAAAGCCTGTGCTACTCGGTTCTCGGCTTGTGAATGTGTCTATGAATGCATGTGTATGTATGCTGGAAGGAATAAATGCCATGGCTCGAGCGGTTGCTTTTGTAATCACGAGCGATACCAGGGAACAAACTGAAACGACCTGCCTGTGTCAATAGAGAGATCGGTGTATTATTATTCAAAATTGGGCAGACTTTCATTTAAAATGAAATTTTATTTCACGAGCCAATTTTCAAACGATCTTTTATTTCAGTTGTTTATTTATTTAAATAAATTATATAACGAGAGAGTTATGGTTGGGATTAGCTATTGTCAATTTTTACTTTACAATATTGATTGGTAATTTCATTTCAAATAATTTTTCAGAAAGATATTCATTTTGCGATAAATGTACCAAACAAAATTCGATAGAAAAGTTAGCATTGAATTTTGAAATGAAATCATTTTAATCAAATATCAGTGTAACCTATTTTCATATCAGATGAATGACCTTACGTAAAAAAACACACTTCGTAAACATGTTTTTATAGACAAGAAATTACTTCAGCATAAATAATACTATAGAAACTAAACTTTCTAAAAAAAATAACAAAAAGGAGAGTCTTGATGATATAACATAGGAAATTCATTTTATTCGATTTTCCTCTCAATAAACTTAATACGAAGATATTGTATCATATTAAAAAAAAAAAAAAAAAAAAAAAAAAATAGGTCGTACGTTTGAATCAATGTAAAATATTTATAAAAATTTATAATTTCGATAGCTTGAAAATAAATGTGCAAAGTATAAGTGTATAATTTATTCGCTTTTTTATATATTTAGAAATATATTTAGAAAGAAGATTCCAATATGCGTAAGAGAAATAATGAAACGATTTGGAAAAGGGGCTCGTTATAATATAAATTGTTCGTGTAGGAAGAAAACTCTTTCCCAAGGAAAACGGCAAAGAAAATTGTATTGCTCGCAATGTAAGGTGAAAATAGGAATGCAAAAGGGCAAAAGGAACATCGTTTATGTCGGAACTTCAATATATCGATATTGAGTTTTGTATACGGCACATTTATAACGTATTCTCCACATTTTCTAAAGTAGTTTTCTTTAGTCTTTAGTCTTTTTTAAGAATAATGCACAATTTCCTCGTTATTTCAAGTTCTTATCTTCAAAAAGAAATAAAGTCATATAGAAATTTTGCGAAATCGTAGGATTTCTATAATCTACGTATAAATTTATACTTGTATCAATTCATATTTCGCTCAACGCGAAAGAACGATTCTATGAATCAAAATTTTATTCAAATTTATACAACAAAAAATCAATTTATTTATTCTTACTTCAAAATTGGCATCAATTTCAAAAGAAATTTAATTCGAATCTATAATTTATAAAAAAAAAAGAAGAAAAAAAGGAACACATTTCGAGTTCACATCATTATGGTCCAGCATCTTTCCAAAAAAAAAAAAACAATCAAAATTCAATGGTGGATTCGATCGGTGCAAGCATGACAGAAAAGTTGCATGGACGACGAAACGTATATGCGATATTAACCAACCTCGTGTATTCAATTCAAAGCGTTATCGCGTGTCGTTCACGAGCAGTCGAAACCCATTCGCTTGAATTTTTCTCATTCGCTCTCGTATTATGCGCTCGCACGAATCCAGTTCGATTTATCAGGTATCGCACGATCCGATAAGAAATGAAATATGCTCCGTTCTTACGAGCGGATCCCGTTTAATCTCCAGTCCAGTGATACCCGTGTTTCTCACGATATTCAAGAAATCGTGCATTCAAATATATTATATTCAAAGATTTCTCAAATAAAAGTATGTGAAAAACGATGTAGATCGACGTTACGTGAGATTTTTTTTTTTTTCGAACAGACTACTTTGAAATTGTTAATAATAATAAAGAATCGGTTTCGATTTAAGTTTCCACACATTTATATTAAATCCATTGCCGTGAATCGTGGTTGCATTGGAAAAATACATTTTAAAACCCATTACCTTTACCGAGTGTCGCCCTCGGTTTACCCTTTATCTACAAAGATTCGCCGCACACCTGTTGCGATCCAAGCTTTCGTAATGATCGTTCTGGTCGCGACTCGGTTTCCCCTTGTTTCGCCTTTTTTTATTTCGTTGGATTGATTCGGTTTTCGAATGGATTTCCTTTTCTTCTCTTCCCCCTTGTTTTTAAGGGTGGCGATAGAGCGGGGAGATTTAACGAATCGTATAAAGGATGTGTGTGGTCCAGGAATAGGTCTGAACAGGGTTCAGCTGTTTTATTCACTTTCTCGTAATGGAAGAGGAAACGCGTGTGTAATTGAGAAATGAAAGAAAGACGTTTTCGCTCCGTTGCTTTTATTTGATCGTGCTTCAATTATTATTACTATTATTGGATCGTGCGTTAGTTAGTTAGTTACTTTATATCGATCGGAGAGAAACATTACTTATATTAAAATTAGAAATAATAAACTACATACAATTGCTTAATAATACATATAAATACGCAAATGTTGGAGTAAATATAATTGCGAATAGTATACGCGCCAGTAGATCTTTTATATTATATTTATATTAATAAAATAATTTATATTAATTAAATAGAATTGAAAAATCCTTATGCAAACTAACGTTAGTAAACGTTCTACCATTAATCTATGAAATAATCACCCTTAATGCTAAAAGTATCCCATTTAAAGAAAAAATACTTATCAACCCTTAAGAACTTACAATTTAATAATAGATGATATTTAAAATTGGTATATAAATTAGCATAGTATATGTTATTAAAAAATTATAGAATATATGAAGAAAGATACAAGATACCTAGATATACCTAGATTAATATTAATAGGATAAAGGGAAGCGATAAAAATACTTAAAATTAGGGCGAATACTTAAAGATAATTAATCTATAAAACGCGTCCATATCGTATTACTGCATTCGTATTTCGGTGTGATATCCTTTTTACTTGAGAGAGCTTAATCATACGGAAAAGTCAAAAAAATGAATTTTATATCTTAAACGAGGTTAACGTGCCCCGAATTAAAACGACATATCCCAATTTTTGTCTCGAAAATTCTTATCGATATATAAATCTATACTCCTCGTACCTACTGTTTCTTTTTTCAAAATTGATTATCGAAATTCAAGTGGAAAATCGACGAAGAAACAGTATGTATGTCCGATTGTCTTGTACAATCTTCTTCAACTTGTGTATATAAAATTGCAAGTTTCGTGTAACGATTGAGTTTCTGAAACTTTGTCGACAACGTAAAAAAAAAAAAAAATACTCGAGCAATTTGTTATTTCGAAACCCACTGTTTGCAATGTTGCCTTTTCGATTGAAAAATCGGGTTTTGAGCGGCAAATTGGGTCTCGAATGAGTAGCAAATAGTCCCGAATAACGGGCATTCGAATACGTTTAGCGACGTTTTGACAAATTTTTTTCAAAAAAATTTCGCGTAACTCTTATATCGTTCCAAAATTAATAATTATTCTCGCCATATTCAACGAGAAGTCTTCGCTTTGATAAGTCGTCAAAGGGTTAAAAAATATTTCAACGTTCTATTCACTATTTCATTTCGTTCTCCACAAAATTAATAATAATTAGAAACACTTAATTTTTAGATTTTTCCTAATTCAATTTAATCTTTGGTTGATTGCTATTCTTATCTACGTGCCTTTTTTCTATTTTGCTATCGTGGTGGTAACGTGACAAAAGTAAATGCAAGAACAAAAGTAAAAACGTAGGGGGTCGGAACACGTTGAAAAAAGCATATTGATAAAAAGAAAATTTTACGCGGTGAACGTCGAAAAAAGAAATTGAAAAATTCGGCTCGAATTCCGTGTTAATGATCGAGAATTTATGTATTTTACACGATCGGTGTAACCACGATTGCCTGAAATCCGTGTCTATATCGAACTGCAAATTTTTCAAACACCAAGGACTCCCTTCACCCTTTACAGTTTCCAAGTTCCTCGATGTTGTTGTGCAGAAAAGTACTTGACAGAGTCCAGGAATAATTGAATGAACGTCTGGAACAACTTTTTTCAAAAATTGCATTTTGAATAATAAAAACAAATTATCGTGTACCTATAATAATTTTCGAATCGACGAGAAAACCAGATGAAAACTCATGGTCTACGATAAAATCGAAACTCGACTTAGAGAAGGCACGGTTCATTGGACTGTTCTCCGTTGGACGAGTTTTCATCATGTTTGTCCCGCCATCTTCCCGGCTACGTCGTCAGCCAGCGCGGATTACCACAACGGAAACTCGTCGGCGGATTCCCCAATCCCCGGAGTTACATCCAACCGGCAAACCCTTGAGGAAATTATTACACGGCAGAGTAACGCCTCCACGATCGTGGTCTAGTTTCACATCGGCAGCTTTGCATATCGTTATCGGTGTTGTCACTGCGGTTCGAGGGGGTGTCCCAGGATTTTAAAAGCGCCGCGTTAAAAGCTTCCGCGACACGTTTCGCGGCAAACTTTATCATCAAGATCTCTCTAATTCATTCAAATTATTAAATTTTCATATCGACACCGTGTGAATAAGGATATTTTTTTTAGTCTAAATCACGTATATATTAAATATGTGGAGAATGTAGAATGATTTAATTGGTGGAATTTCTCCAGTGATTTTGCAAAGAGAATTTTAGATCGAAATTTTATATCTCTTAATTATTGAAGAAGATTTATTATCCAAAGGTTTTGTTTTTTTTTTTTTTTTGAAAAGAAACGCGAAATAAAACTCGTGCATTTTCATTCTTTGAAACTTTAAAATTGCACGTATCCCATTTCTTTATGTAAAAATGTTTTCTCGGGAAAACTTTTGTACGAGGGAGAGAGAAAGAGAGAGAGAGGGGGGGGGGATAAAACTTTTGTTTTCACAAGTTGAAAAGTTAAACATGCTTACCAAAATGATGTTATACAGTTGATCAGTTTAATGTCCTCGAGCCTCTTCGTAATTGATTCCGAGATTAGCAGCTACTATGCGCTCCCTAAAAAAGAAAATATTATTTCATTAGAAGCAACAAATATTTGTTTATCGATCGTTTAATCGATAGACCCCTCCTTTTCCAATTTTGCGATCAAAAAAGAATAAAAGGAGAATTATATATTTGTCGACAAATTCAACGGTCCAATTCTGGAGGCTAAATCGGAGAATAACAGGAAAAGTTAAAGATAAGTCGTTACAATTTTCATTCGTTTCAGAAATAAAGTAATTAGAAAATCAATATATCGAATATATTGAATCAGAGGACTAGGAATAAGAAGGAACGTTTGCTTACCATGTTTCGTCATCCATCAGTAACTCTCGCCATACCAATTGACTTCTTCTCTCAAAAGAAGCTCTGTCGTAAAGATCTTGATAAAGTTTCAGGTTGCACAACATTGTACGTAAGCGCTGAGATGATGAGTAATAGGAATTTCTCCTCTCCATTTTCTTTTCTTCGCTGAGTTGTTGTTCGTCGAATTCCAATATCAAACGCACGTTAATTAATTGTTCGGCAAATTCGCCGTGCGTCAAATTAACCAGAAACGCGTCAGGGAAACGTTTAGTTCGTGTCACAACTTCGGTGCTACCTAGCCCATATATAAGTTTCAAAACTTCGTTTCGACTAGCCTTATCGTGGAATTTGCACGACATGATTTTAGATGTAACGTAAGCAACATCTATAAGAGGAGCGAATTCGATTTCTTCCAGGACAATGTGTACTACAAGCCAATTTTCGTAATGGCCGGGCATGCTGACGATAAAAATGGAAAATTATTATAAATTATTGTTATTACAAATAAGTGTTCGCGACATGCTCGATAAATTTCTCGATGGATTCATCAAGCACCGAAATGATTAAATATTAGCGACTTACATTTTGTCTTTAATTTTTACACGGGGACTGGGGAGAGTGGAGAAATATACGAGACTACGAATTAACCAGTAACTCTGGTTTTCAATAGTACACTAACGAATCGAAGAGACATACGAATATAATATTCGATGAGGGAGTCACGTGACAGACACGCGACTACCGGTTCTCCAAATATTATTTGTTTTTGTTTCGTACTTTGTCATTGGTTTTTGTATCGTGAATTCGTTAAATCGTCGAAATTTTACATGACGTACATCTGTTTATATTACGAGAGGTAACCGCGATTCGAAGTGGTTCTCCAACGATGGACTAATGTGTTGAAATCGTTCATTTTCGTAATTTTCGTTTCGAATTGGTAACTCTTTGTATCTTCTCTATTAAGATTCTCCATTTCAAATTTGTCAAATTAATTGGAGATTCGTAAATATTTATCGTGTATACAAGTGTATTACGTTTTATGAGATAGAAAATGATTCGTAATAGAAGGGTAGCCGCGAAATGAGCACCATCGATCAATTATGGTCGGTTAATTCGTGTAGTTTGAATACAAAATTTGAATATGCAGATCACATCGTCTTAAAAGTATATTAAAATTAACAAACTTTAACACGGTTATCAAATTACAAATTAATTTACACGCGTAGAGAGCGTATATTTTATGATATTGGAATATTAAATATTAAAGATCGTACGATAAATGTACATCTTTTTTGTCTTTACTCGTAATAAAGATCGTAAAATGAAGCATGGATTTCAGAAAATATCGTTTGAAATTTATTCGGTAAATGTAAGTAAGCAGATAATTTCACATTAAATTATGAAGGAATTGTTAATGTCACTAATTGCTGTATAATTAGTATTATGGCGCTTGTATTTCAGTCACTTACTCTAATTACGTTTTAATTTCATTATGAATCTTTGTCTCGTGTTTAAATCGTTATGGTAAAATCATATAACAGGATTAATTTTGTTTAAATATTTATTTAATAATAATAAATTGTATTCTAGAATGAAACGGTCGAGAGATCTTTACGATATGATAAACTGTTATAAACATTTTGTGAAAAGAATACAAATTATCGTATTATCGTATTATCATATCGATATATGTACATTAAAATTATGAATTTTGTTACAAATTAAGAAATAAGAATTAGAAATTTATACATATCATACTGTATTGTATTAAATTATATTAAAATTATACAAAATTCATTAATTTAATAAGCAACAAATTAAATTATTAGCGTTTAAATAAAAAAAAAACTCTATTCTTTAACAATACAAATTATTTGAGTGAAGGTATTTTGTATTGAAATTTTTTGAATATATCTCATTCAAATAAATTTTTGTTAAACAGTGACATTGCGAAAAGCTAATCAAATTGAATTTTTAAAGAATAAATAAATGTAATATTCGTTTCATTATATTTTTGTAATCGAAGAAATTTTACTCTGAAGTATTTCAGAAGTATTTCATATAACAATTAAAAAATATTAATTAGTATTTATTTGTTCTAGCCACTATTATTTTTTTAATAAGGAGAATAATCTTTTGAAGGATTTCGTTGAATAATTTATTAATGAATTCGTTTCACATTTTTTACCATTCTCTTTTTAGTATTTTATAAAGCTAGTTTCGATTTTTCGATTTCTTCCATTTCATTTTATAAAATTTACGTCTATCCCCTTTTAATATCATTACTATCCAATTTACTTCCAATTAATTAGAACTACCAGAAGAGAATGCAATATATGAAGTACATGAAGAGAAAAGAAATATTTAAATATCCATTTCTAGAGTATTAGGATTCTCATATAAAAATTTCCATTTCAAGGGATTTATGAACAGTAAATTCAAAAGAGATCTGGATCAGAAAATTGTTAAAATCTTTTTATAACCTTAGACTTTTAACTAATTATATGTGTACGAAAATAAAATCTTTCCTTTGTGTTATATCCATTGTATTTTTAAGATCTCATTGATTATTTTTGGAAAGATTTAAACAATTCTATAATATTCAAAGCTTTGGCAGATTTTGTCAAGATTTTTTGAATTTTAGTTTAATTTTTAATTACAAAAATTTGATAAAAAAGAAGACACGAAGGAATCTTATTTACTGTAATACTTTAAACAGTGAAAAAAAAAAATATAAAGTATCAATGTAATAAATTAAAAAAAGAAATATAATCCAAAATATATTATCTTTATACATTAGAAATTATATCAAATATCGAAGCTATATAAGAAAGAGAAATGTTTTACAATTTTTAAAAATTGTAACAACAACCTTATACACAGATTCATACATACATCGATTAAAAATCTTTGTTTAGAACTCAGAATTCTCAGAATTCCTATTCGACTTTGTATCGACATTTCATCATTAAACATCTTTTCCATTCGATATATACATATACACGTTTAAAGACTTCTTCTTCGTTATTGAACAAAATTCGAATTTTTCGATCAGGAAGTCGAGTTCAAAACAGCGAGCTGATTGCGTGACACGCTGGCGAGTTTTCGTTTATTCGGGACAAATTGACCTGTCCTTTCCGGTAGCTACGTTTAAATTGGAAAGCAATGGGTGGACAACGATGGTCAGGACGTTCTCCAGTTTTCATTTAACTCTTACGAATGGGCTGGTAGCAGGTTTTAAACTATGCGATAGTTATTCGGGGACTTTGAATTGTTTCATTTGTTTTAAATGCAAATTTAGAGTGTTTAGAAAGTTCGAATGATAAGAGTTTAATTGCTTTCGTTCTTTTTTTTTTTTTTATCGAAAAGGTTTGGGAACTAACGATGAGGTGATAACGACGAGGATGTGTAATTGAGTTGGAAATTGTTTCCGGGAAGATCGTTGTTGAATTAGGAGAGAGTTTCTTTTTTGAAAAAGTTTGAGAAACTTTCTTCTTATATTTCTTTCCTCGTCACTACACCGTTCGTATTATGTATACACGATATTAATACAGAATGTTAATGTATTCGTGGAATAACTTTGAATGCTTCATTTTAACGTTCAAAACAAACAGAAATGTCGGTTATACGTAAAAATATCGATATTCGTCTTAAGATTTCAATCATCCTCTGTTATTGTTATTACTTCCCGTTTTTCCTTCTTAAATTAACTGTACATTTAAATCTAATTATTACCTGGAATAATTGTTCTACTCTTTTACAATTTTATTATTTATATATTTTTAAACAAGACTTTTAATCTAAAAAAAAGAACACATTATAACAAATTACAAATATACTTATGAAAATACCAATAAATTTAAACCACAACATCTTCCATCCTGAACCAGAAACTATCTCTTCTTTCAACAAGAAAAAAGCACACGAAACAAAGCACCAATTTGAATTTTTCCCCTGAAAAGAAACATTCGAATTTTCGATGCTTCACACCATGCCAATATAGTTGTAAGCAGAGTTTGGAGGGGCGGAAATGAAATCGGAAAATGAGCGGGCAACGATTCCGGGTCGGCCGATTTCGTAGACGACGTCGAGGACGACGGTTATTAAATAGCTTGGCTATAAATTGCCGAGCAATTCGCCTCAACCACGCTCCTCCACCCCCTCGTTGCATCGGCTGAAACTTAGTCAATTTCCAGCGGCGCGAACGTTTACACGCGCGTACGTGCGAACACCTTGAATCGCGTTTTAATCCTGCAGATGCATGTCTAAAGTGCACCGGCTCGTTTCCTGTTCCTTTCTTACGGCCGTGCGTGGATCGATCGATCGTTTAGCGCCCCTCGACACGCGATCGCTTACGAGACTTCGCGATATTTTTCTCTTCCTCTTTTTTTGACTTGGATAATTGGTTTTCGCTTCGAGACGATTATGGTGGAATGTGGAGTGGTAGATGTTTCTTGAATTAGGGGGGAGCACTCGAACGAGGAGATTATCTTGTGAATCCTTCATCGGTTGTGTTGTGAGAAAGTTGACAATGCTTTGTGAAGCTTCTAAGTAGAATTTGTTAATAATAATAATATAGTAGATAAATCTTAGAATATCGTGTTAAATTTATCAATTTATTAACCCGATATTTTAAAAAAAGAACACGGTGTATTCAAACTCGAAGTTATTTTCGAATTTTTGGCAGAAAGGGCAATCGTCATTCTTCGTCCACGATACAGCATCATCGAGTTCCTTTTTTTTTTTTTCATCCTTATCCCCCTTTGTGAGAACGACTCTTCCAATCTCGCCGCAGTTTAAGAAAGTTTCGGCCGTGCCTCTGGGCGGACACCTCGCGCGATTACCCCTTTGAGGCAACTTCTGCCGAAGCAGAACGTTTAATCAAGTTGACAACTTTCGTAATCACGCTCGTAATACGGTCGAGTCGCGTGTAGGCTGAAGTTGAACCGAGCCTTCCGGCGCCTATTCGCTGAATAACGATGCGACGATTTGCTAAAAAGCGCTGCTATAATTACAGATTTTAGATGGATTCAATCATCAGGGGGGGTATTTAATTCTTCTTTCTCGAGGAGGGGGAAATGTGGCCTGATTGAAATGTTAATCCCAAGCTTTCGAAATTTCGTGGATTTAGATGTCTCGTGTAAAGAGATGGTAATATCGTGCAGGTTTGACAGTGAGTGTTACATGTCTTTTTTTCGTGTTCGATTGCGATTGGAGACGAAATATTTGGATTGTCCGTGTGTGCAAATATTAGGTTTGATTCAACTAATGAATTAATACAGAGATGATAAGAATTTCAAATGTATCAAATAGATCTATAAAGATAATATTCTTCGTTCCAGATGATATTTCGTACTCAGTACTCAAAAGAGATGTTAATTTTTAAACAATAGGTTTGATATAGTGAAATGAATAAACACGAGCAACAATGGTGTCGAATATAAAGATAAAGATTTTAAATTACGTAGTTAAATTTATTGAATGGAAATAACAAGGATAATTAAAAACACGTTGGCAATGGTAAACAAAGAATCGATGCGTTGAAAATTGAATATGGCGCTTATTAAATAAATTGATATAATAAATTAATAAATTTATTTTAATTTAAATTAATATATAATACTACGAAAGTATCGCCCTTGATATTGTGCAACACGTTCTGTTATATTTATTATACGATTTTTCCAAGTTTTGCTTTGGAGAAAATAACCACGTCCACGTTTTCTCGTTGCAATTTCGATTATCTGAAAATTGGCACACGAACATCTTTTTTCATCTATTTTTCTCGCTGATTTATTGACTTATTCGCTTTTGCCACATCTGTTTGAACAATTTGAATAAGTCATAACACATTGATGAAATGATTCAGTTTAGATTACAAAGTATGAAGATTAATGAAAAATTGGAGATCTAGAAGAGTTAATAATGAAGATAAATAGGGGTGGAAAAAAGAGTGAGATATGAGAATAAAAGAAAGTAAAAAGTGAGATATATTATATAGAGATTTATAATTATCTTATATTTTATGATAGGGAATTATTTAAAGTATCGACGGGATTGATGCCAATTTAATGGAATCGATAGGTTTTGTCGAAGAAAGAGAGAAAAGGGGAATAACAGTTGGATGTATTCCGTTCGTACGAATGATTCGATCGAGGATTGTAACGAGGCTGCTCTTAATTAGGCGGGGCTAAAGGAGCAATTATAACGGTCTACATTCAGTGATTAATGAATGAAATAGTTTTGAAACATTGGATTGGTGGACGACAGATTTCATTTAACAATGGCGTAACTAATTATCACGTTGAAATTGAAATATCAAAGTGCAAAGTGATTAAATAAACGCGCGATTGGAATTCTTAAAATGCTCGAATTTATCCTTTCATTTCACTTATTTGAAATCCTAATTTTGATTAATTTTATGATACCATGTTATTTAACAAACGAAAAACGCGAGATATAAATCTGTCTGGGTATATAGAAATATTTTAAATCAACTACGAATGATAAATTTAATTTAAATTAAATCATTTCTCTCTCGTGTGACATAAATGTTACGTATTAATAATACGTATTTTATTTAAAAGAAGAAATATCGAATTTTATTATTTATTTAATTTATTTGTTAATTATTATTCCTTCGTATGCATATTATTTCTTTGTTTACGTATTTAATTTATCCTTCTCCTTTTATACTCTCATATTTTTCAAACAGAAACGTTTCCATTCCTTTAACTGAAATCATTCACATCGATCGAAGAAAAAACAATATCTTAAATAATTCATAAAAACAAATCCTGTGAAAAATATGCGATTAAAACAAATTACAAATAATTGTATTTACGCACAAAATTTTACTTAAAATTTGTGCAATACTGGTGATTTGTATTACAAACTAATATTTGTTAATCCCAAGACATGGTCGTGATAGCAATTTTCATAGGATATCCCACATGCATACGATGCCCATCATTTTCTAAACGTCCATGGAGCTGCAGAACAACTGTTCTGGGTCATCGATCTTCTCAACACCGATTTTACGCGCACCAGTCGCTCGGTTGGGTATTAACTCTTTTTTATTATTATTATTTTTTTTTCCATCGTCGTCTGTTCGTGTACGACCGAGGTTGCATATGATAATACACGGATGATATAATTTATCGACGAAAATATCGGTGTTGTACTTTCTCCACCGTGAACACGTGCTATCTGGGTTACTGAGTTAAGCTGAAAATATAGGAAAAACGATTTCGTTTAGTATCGGTATATACGAAGTATTGAAATACTGAAACGAATGTCGGATATACCGTGTATTATAAAACATATGTTTCGGGTATTTGTAAAAGCACCGTATTTTAAAGATGAATTTGTTTTAAAGCTTTCTAAACGATAAGTGATATTCCAGTTTCGTTGAACAATAATTTTCGATTTTTTCTTTCTTCTTTTTATCTTATATTTCATCGAAAAGTTGTGGAAAAATAGTCTACGAATTATAAAATTGAAAATATAAATATATTGTTTATAAATGTAATACCAATACAACTTTTATTTAAAGTTTGCTCTCAGGTATTCCAATTTTTTTTTATTTTTAGAGATACACTCGTTTTCTCTTCTCTTTTAATAAAATACAATATTTCAAATGGAGTAATTTTAATAAACTTATGATTATATACGTTTTTCTCAGATTTACTTAACATAAAAATGACGATACGTTAATACACGAGGATAAAACATTGTCGAGATTGAACGTGGTGACAAAAAACAAATATTGTAAATTATAATTCCATTCTTGTAAAGCGAACAGAAAATTCCATTTTTCTATACATTTTGTTCGATTCCACCATCCAACAAACATTGCCAAAGAAAAAATTACATCGAAGGGCTGCATTTATGGATAAAATAGAAGAAACGTTTTAAAGAAATTGAAGTTCGACCAATTCTATATCCGCTCCATGATTTTTTCATACTTGAAAAAGGAATATTCATTTCTCTATGGATAATGAAATGAAAGAAATCCCAAAAATAAATGCTCCTTTTCAATGCTGATCATTTATCCATAATTTCTCAATAAAATATCTCTAAATAAACGTTAAACGATTCGTTAAATATTCAAGATCGAAGCCTTAACAACAACAAAACGAAAAACCGTGGACCGTCGATCATCTGTCGTATTGGTAACTAAAAATGCTGCTTAGCTTCTCCGCATTTATATTTCACCGGTTAAATGGTGAAACCGCACGCGCTTCCATACAATTTTTTAAAGCCTCGTTAACCTGCATATTTCATCGTTCACCGTTTGATTTTTCAAACTCTGGCACGGATCGACGGAGATGCACACGCATCGTGAAATAATCGATCGATCGAATCGTTCCACGATTCGTTCGCCACTCGAAACCCTGCTAATCCCTTCAATCACCCCCCTCCCCCTGGAAACCATACGATAATTGAATCGAGACAAACTCGACAATCGCAATCTGCTTTCGGGGTCGCAAGCTGCTTTTCGAAATCGGTGAAAAAGGATGAAATCAGTTCTGAATCGTGGCACGTGTAATCCACAGCGAAAGTTGCACGGTTTTCATGGCAAATTGTCCCGGATGTGTTTTAACTTTTCGTGTTACCTTACTTCAATTGCACGTTGTCCAGGAAACTTGGTAAAGTAACTTGTCGTCAGAGACGAAACTTTGCCATTTTCGGTGAAGGATTGATAAAAAGATTGATTTTGCGAGAAAAAGTAATTGAAATTATATTCAAAGTACATAAGATATTAACATTAAAGAGGTATTATTGAAATGAAACTTTTTTTAAATGAGCAAATTGAACGATTATTTTCTTTCTATATATCTATTTTAAATTTAGTTCATATTTCTTTGTTCAAAATTATTTTTATAATACAGTAAATCGGACAATAATAATAGTAACATTTAAGCGATTCGTGGCAAGTCAAAAAATTAATCGATCAAATACAGATTTTAATATGAAATCTTATGAAAAGCAACTTTTATTGAAACAAAGAGAAAACATTTATCCACCCATGTTGCGTTTCATTCTAGCGTGAATATGCATGAACATATGTATAAAAAAGTAAATAAATCATTTCTCATTATTCACGAACGAATTCACGTCACTTTTTACGCGGAATAAAATTTGCTCGATTTCCTCGAAATTACACGAGAGTTCAATTAAATAAACAAATCGATAACTTTCAAAAGAAACAGACAGAATATCCGAATCGCATTCGTGAATGTCAAAATGTGTTCAGGGAGGGTTGTAAGAAGAGGGTTGTGCAGGGTTGAACGACATTCGAAAAATAAACGAGGAGCCGTTTTTCCTCGCGATTCATCAAACGGTGCGATGCTTCACCGTGAAAATTTCCCAGTTATTTCGAGAGCAGACCAGGTTTTATCGATTCGCGAGGATTCCTCGGGTTCCTCTTCGAGTCACGGAACGAAACGAGGGATCCACAAGGAGGTCGAAAAGCGGGTCGGTCTGTGGAATCGCGAATAATTTTATCCGTATTGCTCCTCCTTGTTCCAAGACGATTCACCGTCGCAGTTACGAAAGAGAATTCTGAATTCACCGTTCCTTTAGCTGGCCTCGTTGTCGCGCACCAGAAAATGAAAGCTAAACGGGACGACGGGGCCGTGCACCTTTGATAAATGTTTGACGAGAGTTTGTAAATTGTGAAACTTTGAGGAAGTGAATGAACATGGCTGACAGCTCTGCAAATACTGATACCGTTCGTGTAATCTCTATTCTTCCTTCTTGGGTTACCTTTTTTTTTTTTTTTACCTTTTTCAATCCTTTGTTATGCACTCGTGACGAGGGATTTGCACGGTTCTGAGACCGTTCGAGAGATACTGAATGGATAAAAGTGGGGAAAGTGGTGTGGCGAGATTAATGATTGCACGGGGAAGAAGAGGAAAGGAATTGAATACTCGTGCATTTGATCGAACGATCACCTCGTTTGGATTATTAATTTGTATTGTTGTTAATCTTATTTTATTAACAAGGATACGTGTGTAATGTTGTATCGCCTAATTTGAACGAATGTTTCGCAATATTTGATATAATTTTCTATGATATTTATTTACACAAAGTAAATATCTAATATAATAATTAACTGTCTATAATTAGATTATATTTTATTTATGTAGCTGAAACGATTTCAAACGAAACTTCGATATTTCGTATGAAAAAAATGTGAAAACGAATTAAAAATTTTATCATCAAAATCCATCTAGAAAATAAAGAAAAATATACCAGTTAAAAGACAATTTTTGTTTTATCCCGATATCTCAATCGGTTGCCGAGATATAAAGACTCGAAGTGTTCATTTAAGACAGCGCAGAAATTATGAATGAGTTGGCGACCTTCGTTCTTCCTGGAAATGCGTACTACGTTCTTCCAGGAATCGCGTCTGCCGCTTGTCTACAGTTTGGAATAGGTCAGTGAGACGAGGTACGAGCGAGAGATCCGAGTAAGCAACAAGGACGGGGATAACGGATTAAAAAATTACCCTTTTCTTTACACGACGATATCTCGGGAACCGGAAGTGATTGCACGGGGAAGAAGAGGAAAGGAATTGAATACTCGTGCATTTGATCGAACGATCACCTCGTTTGGATTATTAATTTGTATTGTTGTTAATCTTATTTTATTAACAAGGATACGTGTGTAATGTTGTATCGCCTAATTTGAACGAATGTTTCGCAATATTTGATATAATTTTCTATGATATTTATTTACACAAAGTAAATATCTAATATAATAATTAACTGTCTATAATTAGATTATATTTTATTTATGTAGCTGAAACGATTTCAAACGAAACTTCGATATTTCGTATGAAAAAAATGTGAAAACGAATTAAAAATTTTATCATCAAAATCCATCTAGAAAATAAAGAAAAATATACCAGTTAAAAGACAATTTTTGTTTTATCCCGATATCTCAATCGGTTGCCGAGATATAAAGACTCGAAGTGTTCATTTAAGACAGCGCAGAAATTATGAATGAGTTGGCGACCTTCGTTCTTCCTGGAAATGCGTACTACGTTCTTCCAGGAATCGCGTCTGCCGCTTGTCTACAGTTTGGAATAGGTCAGTGAGACGAGGTACGAGCGAGAGATCCGAGTAAGCAACAAGGACGGGGATAACGGATTAAAAATTACCCTTTTCTTTACACGACGATATCTCGGGAACCGGAAGTGGTATCGAGATAAATGAAAAAGCGTTTGAAAGGGCAAGGTTCCACGCTTCTAATGATCGCTCATTTATTGATTAAAAGTCATTACGTTCGGAGTTATAGCGGTTTAAATTTTTCCGAATTTTAATAGGATTTAATAAGGTGTTTGTAAACGATCGAAAATTATTCTTTTCTTTATACGATGATATCTCGGGAACCGGAAGTGGTATCGAGATAAATGAAAGAGCGTTTGAAAGAGCAAGGTTCCACGCTTCTAATGATCGCTCATTTATTGATTAAAAGTCATTACGTTCGGAGTTATAGCGGTTTAAATTTTTCCGAATTTTAATAGGATTTAATAAGGTGTTTGTAAACGATCAAAAATTATAATCTTTTCTTTATACGATGATATCTCGGGAACCGGAAGTGGTATCGAGATAAATGAAAAAGCGTTTGAAAGGGCAAGGTTCCACGCTTCTAATGATCTTTGATTCGTCGATTAAAAATCATTATCTTCGGAGTTACAGCGATTCAAATTTTTTCTAATTTTTAATAAGGCTTAAGAGTTTCAAGATAAATATTAAGTGCACCAATCTTAATAAAAGGATTAATATAAAAGAAAAATAAGACAAATTGTGCGAGTGATACTGTTCACATGATTATTTTGACTGCAACAATCTTTTGTCGATAGGATAATAAACTCCTGCATCTATAAATTGTGTGCCCAGCAAGCGGAGCGTTGGCTGCATATTAAATTATGTTGTCACTAATAACGTGTTTCGTCGTAGCTTCTAACCGGCAAGAAATATTGTCGTTCATGGCATAACGTTGGCCACGAGATATACCGAAACGCGATTACATTTACGCTTGGTTCGTTTCGAAACTCGTGAGATGTAATTTTATTCAAATTGTGTTATCAGTCGCGTCGTCACGTAAAGTACATACGTTAAATCCTTGGCTACGATCCTTTGCAGAGTAAGGATATGATGAAAGTTTGGTGTTTAGCGGACGTTTCGTGAAATTGTTAAGTTTCAGACGTGCATGCTCGAAATCTTGTCAATTTATCTTCACATTGGTCTTGCGAATTGAATATATTCGGTCGAAAATACGGTAATAACTTGCAATTTTGTTTCTTTAATTTTAATTAGTGGAATAGTTCAGAGGTTGGTTTCTCATCTAATATTTAACCTTCAAAATGTAAATTTGGATTGAATATTTTGATACACGCGCTATTTAAAAGCTATTAATTTCTAAAAAGTTTTCGAAAAGTTCTTGATTTCTTGAAAAAGAATGTGTTCCTATTTCAAGATTCGAAAATCTACGTAAAATCTCGAACGAAACTGTTAGATCCTGTTATAAATTTCTTTAGAATTAAGTATTGAAGTCGAAATATTTCAATTTGAATATTTAAATAAATTTTAATCAATTTTTAATAAATAACTTTTTAAATCAAAAATTAAGTAAATTGAAATTTAATTTTCAACCATATAAAAATTCCAATCTAGCTTTATATCGTATTATACATTTCATACAATATGAAACATTTACGCTTGGTCGAAGATGAATTAAAATTTATTACAATGAAAATGAATATGGCTTCTTATTTTTTATCTAAAGAAATTTAACTTAATAAGTATTATTCTAACGTAAGAAATGAAAACAAAAAATAAAAAAAATCTATAAATTCTCTCACAAAAATGAATGAGACAGTTCCATGTTCACAGTTCCATAAACAAATAAATCTTTTTTAAATATTTTGCAACTTCCACGATTGTTTCGATTTCAAAGAATCGATCCCACGAAACATTCCTCAACGAAAAACGAAAGGAATGCAAGAATATTCGTAAACATCGAAGAATTTCCATCGATCGAAAAAAAAAAAAAGAAAAGAAAAGAAAAGAAAAGAAAAATACACCCAGGAAAAGCGGAGCAGACACAAGGCTTTGTCCAAACGAAACGAGATAGGTGTTTGAAATTTATGGGCTTAATGTTAGGCACACTTATCGTCACGTAGGAGGAACGAGGCTCTCGTAAATCCTTCGCTACCTCCTCCTCTCCCCCCTCTTTACCCATCTCACCCCCATGCTCGTACCTGTGCTCGCATACGAGATATGACGAAACTTTGTAGACTGCGAACCGATTTCGAGACTTGTCACAGAGTTTACAATATATATTCTCGCCTCTTCGCCGAGTTTCCATCCAATTTCTGTGTACCAATGGTTCTACGGGGCCGTTCTCCTTCCCCGTGACAAAATTTGGTTGACACTCACGACCCCGTGGAAGAAGGCTCGTCCCCCCCCCCCACGGACGAAATCGAATACCGCGATTCCAGTCTAGGGGATTCTCTAAATTATCCCCTAGATATGTAATTCTAACGTTGCTGGAGTGCCGACAAGAGGGGGCAAATATTCGAGGATTATGGAATTTGCATGGTGGACAGTGTTTCTCAATTGTTCTCTGGGCTTGAGAATTTTTTTATTGTTCCTTTCTTTTTTGAAATTAGATAGGTTGTGTTTAATGTATGATTGGTAGAATGAAAATTATCTGTTTGGAAGAATGATATATTTATATATTACTTTTGGTAGTTTGTTATTTATTCGTTTGAAAAAGTATTGAATATATATATATATAATATTTAAACTTTAATTATTGTTGTCTTTTTGAAAATTAAATTGGATTGGATTAAAGTTGCTCGAACGATTATTCGGTAAATAAATCGAGTACGTTTATATATTTGTTCTTTGAAAAATTCTTTATCAACACGTTAAAAAATTCGAATATTTTTAATTTTCCATATATCATATTTCAAGTAATGATGTAAAATATGTAAAATAAAATTCATTTTTGTGAAGATATGGAAATAATTTTCGACAAGTATCAATGAGTGGAGTAATGCATTTTGCGAACAATCTATCCATCCCACAATTTCTGCGTTCTACATAGCAGGTAGATTCGATTCCTGGCATCTATGGAATTGCCACCTTAATGAACGGTTGTCTCATTAACACGAGATTCTCATTGTATATAGTTAATTCATGTTATGCTGCAATTCGCGTTATGCAAACAACGCTTGTCCCTGATCTTAACACGTCGACACGTCCTTGAATTTACTCAATGCTCTTGCAGTTAGTATCTGCTTTCTACTTTGCCTTGCTTTTGAATGCAATGCAATTTTTTTCCTTCCATTAATAATTTATTTGAATTTTTGCAAGATAACGTGTTTTCAAAAATTTTATACAATATATTAAAAATTACAATTAATTTTACGAATAAACAAATTATTTGTAATATTTCTTTATTATTCTTACCTCTACTTTTGTTGTTATAATTAATTTTTTAATCTTTTAAGAAAAGTTTATCAAAACTTGATAAAATACTAATTCAATTGTTTTGTATCTTCAAATAATATTTATTTATTTTATTCCATGTATTATTACATTATTTATGTACTGATATAGGTAATATCAAAAAATATTTTGTAACTATATGCATAATGCAAATAATACAGTAACTAAAACATTTAAATTAAAACAAGCTTAACATATATTGTATGCCAATAATATTTATTTCAAAATATCAATAGTTTGATCCAATAATGTTTGATCTAAAATGTAAATCATTTTCTGTATGAATTTAATTATATAAATGAGATATTCGAACGCTTTCCATATAAAATCACGATGATGAACATAAAGAAATAGAAACATAAAGGAAAGAAAAATGAATTTTCACGAGAAATGAGCAGAATGAATATCAACTTCTTCTTCTTTCTCGTTAACGAGAATGTTTTATGAAAACCCTCTTTTCTCAGCCTATACTTAAAGTCGAATTATTCCACTTTCACTTTATACTCCACATAACTACGAGCTGTTTCATGGCTCAACCCGGTTGCCTCGTTCATAGTGAGTAATTGAGATTACACGTGAAGCCTAATATTCACTGAGACAGAGAAGAATTGTACGTCGAGAATGAAGCATAATTTTTCTGGAATCAGATCGTTTGAAGGATAATTTGTTATTCTTGATGTTTCAGCTTGAGATGTTTTGGTTGGTATGTAAAAAGTATATTTTTTTCACGACGTTTGATAATGATAATGGAGAGATTGGAACACAGTTGTTTCTATTTGAAATATTTCTTTTGAACGAAGCTTTTTAAGATAGCATATAAATATATCATGTGTGATTGCATAATATTTGTATAATTATTATTTAGAGAAGTATTTGAAGTAATTGATAATGAGTAAATGATAATTATGGATTTATTTAAATATATAAGTTGATATTAGTATTTATACGCATATATATTTATACAATTTCTAGTAAAATATGATTGTAGGAATAATAAATATTAACAAAATTTCAAGATAATAAAAATTTCTCCAATTTTTGCAAAGATTTAATTCAATGAACGATAATTTAATAACTTTTTTCGATAATTCCAGATATATTTTATGATCCTTTTGTTCTGAAATGGATATTTTAGTTCATTATGGTAATTAAAAAGTATACAGAACTACATTCGTTATAATGTTTGAAGTAATTCTACTAATTAGTTCAGATTTAACTTGCATAAATTTTTCGCATTATTTATTTTGTAATAAACGGTAACATGCTAATTATCTGTTTAAAGTTTAATAAAATATTGAAATCTGAGCTGAACAAATTATGCTTGTTTTAGTTAAAAATCACTCATTATGAGGCATGTAATGTTGGTCAAGGATAAAGGATGCAGAATATTTTAAAATCTGTAGCGAGGAAAGACATCTGAAAAAGAATTGAATTGGAATACCGTGAAGAATAATCTCGTTATTAACGAATTAATTTATATATATAAATAGATAACAATTTCAAATAGCGATAAATTCTCAATTAGCAACGAAACGTTATCAATCATCGCACATTATTTCAATTTACTAATTTCCTAATATAACCTTAATTATAATAATTCTTAAAAAAAAAAGTTATTACAATTTTAACAACGCATTTAACATCTCACCGATGATAATGAAAAAATAATTCATCTCCCTCTTCATTAATATTCATATTCACCATCAAGCCTGCCAAATCGATATTTAAACGAACACTCTCAGACTGGTTTGAAAAAAGAAGAAAATCAAATCGTCGCGAATTACAGTCGTATCGATCGTTAAATCACAATTACTTCCACTATCAAACGTAGAAATATTTCTGAAACGAATCCTTGCGTACCACAATCTATCTCTTTACGATTTTCAATTTTCAAAAGGGCGAATCCTCGAGCGAATTGCAGGAAGCACAGGGCACGATTTGCCGAGGATATATACATATACATAAAGCATCGTTTGGGCGAATTTTCATCGCCGGTTCCCAGATGCGGCTTCGAATAAACAGGAAGCGGCGTGTTCGTGGACGTTATTTGTATCTGTCAGCGGGGGTGGATCGACAGAGAGGGGAGCGGCGTAACACGCGTTGGAGCACACTTCTCCGTTTGCACGCGAATATATATACATTCCCATGGAACA